ACGCCGTCGCTTCCCTTGGTACCGCTGTGAAAACCGGCTCCTTCGGGCGGATGGGCTTTGTGCAAACCTTCTCTTGGCTGGAGTAAATCCTGACCGTTACGTGTCCGGTGCCGAACTGACAGATGGGAGTTTGAAAATGTATTTTCGGGCATCCTTTTCCAGGACTGCTCCTTCTTTTTGCTGTTTTTTACCCCTTTGAGCCTTACTGTGTTCGGACTTGGTTTTCCCTTTCTCTTACAAACAGAGGAGAAAAAGAGGGGTGGGGGGAAATCTTGACCTCTGTGCAGATTAAACAATTTCGGAAACTATTTTTGGCCTGCACATTTGTTTATGCTTGGGGTTCGATGTGTGGTTTTCCATTCCCACCCTGTTCCAAAGTGTCGTACCTGTTTTTTTGGTCTAATATCGTCTGTGTGTTCTACCCTGCAGCCTTGCAAACACCTGTGCAAACACTAAAAGTGCTCAGAAATTATTCAGAAAAGTTATCTTTAGCAGCTCGGTAAATACCAGCTGTAACAGCAAATACGCTATAGTTCCTATAAAAATAACTGTTTCTGGAATAAGCATAGATTCTAGTTGTAACCTCTTAATACTGTGCGCCTGTACTCATGTTTAAACAAAGATGTATTGACATGTGCAAAAGTGAAAAACTTCTATCACTGTGCATTGTATTTCTGTTATTCTGATTTACAGGACAAGTATCTACAAGTTAAGTTGTTTTTTTTTTTAAGGAACTGTTGCAATAGTTTATATAAACAAGAGGAAAAAGTAAATTATTGAGGGATTTGCGCAGTCTAGGCAAGATACTCAAAACTGTTATCGGGTTTTGAATGCTTAATTATAATGAGAATTGGAGTCCAAAGCAGTGGTTGAAATTGTAGCTTCTCGGTTATGTATGTGAAAGAAAAAATGGGAATGTAAACTGTCTATAATGACATCTGTGGTAATAGAAAGCTATTAAAGTAATAGGGCTGACACTAGTTGGAGCTTTCCCTGTCTCTCACGGAGATACTGTTCAATACTACAAAATAATTTTCCTACGCTATTTTTCACTTTAGAAACAGAGTTTTGTGGTCAGTTAGCATTCCTTACTAGTTTGTAGACTCATTTGGGGGACCTGGAAGCACTGGAATTTATTAAGCATAAATTTGTACACACATGTCACTTACCACAAACAACTTGCAGCAAAAAACTGAGTAGCTGTTCTGATGGGAACAGTTGAAACAAACATACAATGATACTTAAAATTCAGTTGAAAGCGTGCCACAAATATGTGCAAAAAGAACCTGTAAACTTGCAGCTCCGCATTTTATCCGGGTAAACCACAACGTTGCATAAGGAGAGCCAGTTGGGACCGGACCTTTTGACCTGTAACCGGCTCCACAAGCATGACTTGCTGTAGGCAGGGAGATCGTGCTCTGCCTGCGTGGCAGCGACCCAGCATCCTCACCTACGTGTCGTCAGGAGCCAGTTACATGATAAGGCAGGAAGGAAAACCTCTAGTGCGCTGGGTAGTGTTTGGCCATAACTGACTTAGTTGGCCTTCTGGGAGCATGATCATCCTCGCTTTTTGCAGCTTAGTTTAAGGTTATAGCCTACAACATGGTGCTCTGCCATACTGTTTTGTCTTCTGTATTTGTACAGGTGTTTGCAAGGCTGCAGGGTAGATCAGTTTCCTGCTGGAAATATTAAAATATATGCACTTTTTTTTTCTGCCTTTACTAGCATCAGTGAAGGGGAGCATGGGGGAGAGTTGGAAATTCTTTAAACAGCTATTGGTGCCAAAACGAAAAAAGCTGTGTGGAGCTGTGCCCTTGATGCTATTGGTAATATGGGACATCCAATGTTGTTTTTCCCAGTAAGGCACAACGTCAAGCTCTTCAGTGGCTGATTTGGAATATACGATGGTAAAAACATCCATGGCCAGTTTACACAAACATCCTGTAAACCAACAGGGCAGGTGCCCAGGCAGTAGTGCAATAGCTGTACTGACACTGGTCAATACATGAGAAGCCTGGCATATCGGAATGCAAGAAAATTCATCTTGGTGTATACCATTAGATCAAAATACACTCACTTTAATGCAGTGACAAGGTTTGTTCTGTTATGATTTCCTGCTTTATTTCTAAGTCGGTTTCTAAATTTCTCAAGCGGGTTTTCCTTCTGTTATAAGTTACAAAATGATGTTAGGCTTATTGAGATTGACAGATTCATTCTCCTTTTTCTGGCTCTTGCCATTTCTTTTTTTCTTTCACTTAATTCTTTTGGGTTTGTATGTTGTTTTTTTGGGTCTGTTTAGCTCAGATCTCCCCTGGCTTTAGCCACACAGCTTCTAAAGCTGTTTGATTGCTACTTTAGATGGTTTAGAAGATGCTTTTTGGATTCTTAAATGTCACACCAGTTTCAACATGCAGGAAGCTGTGGGGTTTGAAAGCTGCTAAGGATTTTAACATTGCAAGGGAAGCAGTTACCTTAATCTGAAACTGAGAAACACTGTTCTTAACGCTGGACATAGTATGGCAGAGTGAAAGAAAGGACTATCTTTGGCTACTGTTTTGTTACCCTGTTCCAGTACGTTAGAAAAAATGGGTAGGATTTCAAGAGGCCTCCTATGTATCAGAGTGTCCTTGATACTTTTTCCTGGATTGTTTTTTTTTTTTATTTTGTGGAAGGTTATTGATATAAAAACTCTCATCAGCAGAACAAAGAGTTAGGTAGTCACATGTCTCTGAAGCAGTAGTCCTAAACTTTGGCTCCGTAATCTCCCTCTTCTGTCTCTCTGCTCTGGGAAACACAGTGACAGATGCTGCTTTTGCCATTGGCAGCAGCAAATGTTATTTTCTCAGAGTAAAAGTGGGTAGAAAGGCTAACTTACTAGCATTAATATTTTAACCACAGAGTAAGCTGATAACTTCAAGGCTGATGGTAAAGTATACCCCCCCGCCCAGTTCTGTCTACTGGAAGAAGCAGTAGTGGCAGAAGGCATATTGTTGCTTGTTTCATTTGAATTAGGAAAAAAACACAGAAATGAGAACAGAGTTTATTCTCCATGCCTCTATGGCTGTGGCAATGCTGGTATTGAAAAACTCATGCTTAGCTAGCACAACGTGTGGTTTCCTGTGAGGTGTACAAGTACCTGCTGGCTGCAGAGCTGAGGCTGCTGAAGTCATTCACTGTGTTTCCCCACAGCAATGAGTTCATAGGCATAACCACAGACATGAAATTGAAATAAAATAGTGATTGTAAAGAGTGTCACGGTTAAGTGCCTAATTTATCTGGTGTGGGAGGGCTGTTGACTTCATATGAAAGTGGCAGGCAAGAAGGCAGTTAATTCAGTGTTGGGACTCTGCTGTGGCTTATGTCTCCTTGAGGAGGCATTGGTTTCAGAGGAGTTATACGAGTTTCTACTTAGCTTAGTGTATGGCCCAAAAGTTTTCTTTTTCTAGCAGACCTCTGCCTGGTATCTTTCCCCAGTTTGAACAAGTACAGCTCATGTCCTCCCTGAATAATACTACCCTTTTTTTTGAAACTCTTTATCCTACTGTAGTTATTGATTCCGAGCTTATCAGTTATGGCCATATCCTGGCTTTCAGGAGACTGTTCTGTACCAGAATTACCCATGTTGTGGGCGTTGCCTCCTGTTGTAACAGGGTTAGCTTTTCTCTCAACAAAATTACTTCCTTACATTTAAGCCCTGGTACGAGTATCCTGGCTAAAAAGGGAGTAGAGGAATTATGCTGTAATTTTAGCAATTTTTTTTTATTGTGTAGTCTGTCTTTTACACAGGGAAGAGTTTGCCAGATCTTCTGTTGTTAATTCATACGTAGACAGTCTTACTTTAGTAGCAGATATATGGAACTGATTTATTATTCCTTATACAACTGAGATGAATTTACTGAGGCAAGATACATCTTTCTGTTACAGAATTGCAGTAGCATTGTATATTACTTTTGGCTAGTAGAAGCCTTTCTAGGAAATGAAATGTAGAACAAAAGACTTTGTATAGAACTAATCCAAATGTTGCAATTCAGAGCTGAAAATTGCAGTCAATTTTAAGAACCCCTTCCAGGCTGGGAGGAGGGAATATTTCTAACCTGTGGTTTTGTAAGCCAAATGTATGAATTCAGTAATAAGTTGCTGTGAATTAAACCACAACATGCTCTTACAGTGTTGCAGCTATTCTATGCTAAATTTGCAATACCTCACCCCTTAGTAGAAAGCACAAGCAGGAAGATTTTATAGTTTTAAAAACAAATAACCAACAGCTGAAAGATGATAATATCTTTTTTTTTTTTTTTTCCTTCTCTCAGGTCCCAAGCTGTTGTAAGGCCTGCTGCTTGGAGTGGAGATTTCTATCATTGCTTTGACTATTTCAAGATTGTTTTCACCCTCTGTCAGTCACAAGCTGATAAGTACTGTAGCCTAGTTAGTTATGCTACTTATTTTTCTCTCTCCAAAGACTATGTGGCTATTTCATGTCAGACTGGAACCTGCTTTTACTGAAGGGTGGAGAACCTCTGGGTAGGGTGGATCCCTGGCTTTCTGGGGCTGTGCCGGTGCCCCCTTCCATGATCTGGGGCACGTCTGGCAGCCTGACCACAGCCACGGGGTGGGATGTGTGCCTCTTGGTGACTGGGAGTGCCTGTGGTTTGGTCCCTTGGTGGATCTGCTTCTGGTCATGTCATGTGATTAATTGGAATGAAAAACTGGATGGATTGTTCTGGTTGGTTATTAGAGATTTCTCATTCCTGTTTTGGTTTTAGTCATCTACTCAATGACATATAACGAGAACCTATTTATTGCAACTCTTGAGGAGAATTCCATTACACTAGTTAATTTGGAGAGGTAGAGAAAAAAATCCGTTGTCTTCTAATGTTAACCAAAACCCAAATTCTAAAATAAAGACGAGTTATCAGTGTAACTGCAACTATTTATATTGCAGTAGTAGAAACTCCAGGTCCCTTTTCTGTTAGGTACTGAACAGCTCAGACACAGAACAAGAGAGCTCTTTGTCTGTGAAAGTTTGTAAGTCTGAAGTGATCCTATATTATCTCTCATCTTCTGCCTGTACTTTCTTGGGTATGTACCTATCTGGCTTTCTGGCTGCAGATTTCAGAGTGATGTATTAATTTTCAGACTGATTTTCTAATTTTAAAATTATAAAAAATATTTTTTTCTGTATATTGTAAGTGAAAGGAAAAGTAAAATATATTGTGAACTTGGAAAGGGTTGGAAAGGATGAGGAGAAATAAATATTTTCATAATAGAAAATTTTATTTACTGAATTTTAATAAGATTGCTACCCTAGAACAAAAATAATAAATCTTAGTCTGATCAAAGAGGGTTTGATAAAGGGTTTTATAAAAATGTTTTATAAAGGTAAACATGCTTAATCAGATTCACTTTTTAAATTCAGCAACTCTTAAACAGAAATTTATCAGCCAAATAACTTCATTTGGAAACAGGAATATTTAGGCCTTGGTGCAGGAAAGTATTTAATCATATGTTTAGGTCTATGCCTACTTCCTTTTGAGTATTTGTTTACATTTCTGTAAGATTTTGTAAAATACATTTTTCTAAACGAGCAAGCTAGTGACTCAGGACTTTAGAGATCGGAGAAGGGAAGCTTGCCTGAAAATTTCAGGTCTACACTGACTGAAAAAGAAAATAGACAGTTTTTATTCTGTAGAGGAAGATTAGTTACATGCACATTTACCAAAACCTGGTAAAGATTCAGGGTGCTTTAGAAACAAAGAAGGAGATGTGGTCGGAGAAACAGGTGTGATCTTGCCTCCAAAATGCTTATAGTTAGAACTGAGGCAAGACCCATAGTATGTTCAGAAGGAAAGAACAGAGTAAATTGAGGAAGAAAGCATAGTTTAAAAAAAAAAACCAACAGGTTTCACTGTTTTGAAGGTGTAGAAAAATATGAATACTAGTACAGGACATGAGGATAATTTCAGACTTGAAGCAACATGGAAAAGTCGCAAAGGGAAGACAGAAGAGGAATGATATCTTGCTTAAGAAGGAGATAAGACATCTAAGTTGGTACAAGCTATTTTGGTACTCTCAACGGAAGAGAGGATGGCTTGGAAATGAGATAATAACGAACAGCAAGAAAAACAAGAAGTAAAAGGTAGGGTACTGTGGTTGCAGCAAGAAGTGTATCGCTTACAGCATTTTCTTGGCTTCTCGTTTCCACTAATGGAAATATTAAAAGAAGTAGAAAAAAAAGACTTGTGGTAAAGGATATACTGTGTATGTATATCGCACAAATTTCATGCAGAATAAGAAGTACCATAAATGTTTCATTAAAGGAATATGTAGTACTTTATTCCTGATGCAGTTTTCATTTGATTTCTTGTCTAAATCAATATTTTATTACATATTTTTTCAAGTCATCTGCAGTTTATATAATGCAACTGTCATTGTAAAGCAGATGAGCAGCATCTGAATGTTAGGCAAAGGCTAAGTATCTACCAGATATTTACAAGATTGTCATAGTAATTTTTAAAAATGCCTGTCTTTTAAAATTACATCTACTTCTGCCCTGTCACAATTATATGCATGTGTTTACCACTCAGTTATTGCAGGGGAAAAAAGTGGGAGTCAACATGGGGGTTTTATTCTTGTGGTGTTTAGGTTTTTTGGTTTATTTGTTATTTTTCTTCTATAACCTTGGACTAATGGGGGGAAGTCAGGAATGATGTTTCCCAGAAATTTGTACCAGGCCTCTGTGCTTCAATGTTATCATAAATGATCCCAAAGGGGGTACAAAATGATGTGAGAAAGTTTGTTGATGACAGGTAATTACTTAGAGTAATAAAATTGAAAATTGACCTTTTACTTTGGATCTGCAGAGTACTTAGTAGCTGGGTGATAAAGCAGCAAATGTCTTAGTAATGTAAACTTATTTGCCTTGAAGAAGACAGTTGATTTTGTTTTTTTTTTTCTTTTTTTTTCATCCCAAATGGCAAACTCTGGACTAGCTCTTTTGTTGCTCAGATTGTGGATGTGTAATAAGAAAGTTCTGTGAAAACATCAGTGCAATGCTCAGTGGTGGTCAAAATAGCAAGTATTAGGAATAATGGAATTGCTAGGAAAATGATAGCATAAAATGCAAAGGATTGTTACATTACTGCATAAATCCATTGTGCACCTGTATCGTAAATATGACATGCGGGTCTGTTCCTGTAATGTAATGAGTGGCATGCTGGAGGTGAGTAGAAATGGTCGCTATTTCTCATAACACAAGAAGCAAGCAATCAGATCAGGTGGCAGATTCAAAGGTACATGCTGAATATTGCTACCTGTCTTTCCTTGGTATTGCGTGTTGCAATTTCGTAGCTGTCTTCTGCTCTGCAAAGTTGTCCCACCTTTTGGTCTGGATTGCCAATCAGAGTTAAAGTATAAGCTTTTTAACTGCTTTGTGGAGAAAGATGAGGTAGGATCTGATGTATCTTTGAGAGATTAAAGTTCAGAGCATGCTTTTCACTTACCTACACGTGAAAAGTTTAGGCACTGTGGATGAAAAGTGCTGTTACCTTGTGTTGTGATGAATTGTATGAACCGAAGGTCTTCATTTTCCTTTAGGTTTTTAAATAATGGTACTTAGTTCGTGGTAAGGATTTATCTTTAATTGCATACAAAATAATAATTGGTGCCATTAGCAGCACTTGGTGTTGAAAATACAAAATGCATGGCCGAAGAATGAGTTTAGTTGTTCTAGCAAGAAAAATCTCAAAGGATGGGGGAAGCACACGTGAGTGCAAGGGGATGCAGCTGAGTGTGAGTGAGTACACATGAGCATGGGCGTGAGACAGAGCAGGAGTTGGAGCGTATGAGCAAACGGGCACGTGGGATGCCTGTGAGTGAATGTAAAGATGCATCAGTGTATATTCATACTGGTGAGCATGCAAGTGAGCATAAGCATGCACAAGCCTGAGCAAGCATGCAGGTGAATGTGTGTATTGAGTGTTTTTCAGGAAATACGCAAGTGGAGGATTTAAACCAGAATTCATGGCCTTTCATTTTTGTGCTCCACAGATGTTTGAGGAGAGGTGGCTCTCGCTCCCCCGTCCCCTGCCTGTCTGGAGTCTATTTGTTTTTCCCCGCTACTCTTCCATGGGGAATGTGTTGAGGACCGAATCTTGTGGTGAAAGGGTAGCAAGAGCATTTCTGGTCTGGAAGCCATTTCCCCAACCTTTCTAGACTCTCTACAGCGTAAAGCACCCTTTTGTCCACTGTTTCATCTGGTTATGCTGAAATGAAATATGCATGTTTGTGGACATCTGTAGAATAGTGCTGGCAATATTTACAGTTTGGGGAGTTGAAAATAAAACACACACACACACACAAAAAAATCTATGTGCTCCTTGGAACAATGAGTTGTAGACTGAACATGTATTTATTTCCTCACACTGGAAGAAGGAACAGTATTTAGCAAGAAGTATTGTTGGTGTCCTTGTTGGACCCCAACATTATCTTGTTCCTGAAAACCTTGCTGAGGAAATTTGAATATTACAAGAATGAGAGGATATGGTTGCAAGTTCTGCTCCATCCTGTGTTATTTTGGACCCTGGCCATCAGGAAACATTTTGTCTACTTCAGAGATGAAACACTTTCTCTTCAGTAGTAGTATTATGAGCAAGATGTGTAAATAATATGTGGCGAGGGGCAACTTTATTACAGAAAGGGAAATCATCTCAACTTTCCTTTCTTTGATGAACTTCTAAAAAGAGGTTTCTCCAAAAGATGTGCTGGGGGGAATTTGCATGTTTTGTATTGATCTATATAAACTCTAGTTATAAACATAAAAGTAGCTTAAAAGTTGTTTCACTCTGCTTCTGTCACCCTTTGTACTTTATCAACCATTGATCTTTATTCTTTGTCAATTCATACATGTTTAATACTGCATTGCAAATAGTTTTCCTCACCTCCAAAAGTATTCATAAAAATAAGGCTGGGTGAGAATATTTGAAAGAGCATTGTTTGTAATTTTCTTGCCTCTGCTGAGCTGAGTGTCTAGAAAATGGAAATACGGGCTTCTACCTCCTGCAGAGGAATGGAAATAAATCATAATGCAAGCTCTTTCAAAAGAAATTACATATCCTGGAGTAGGAAAACTCATAGATCAGTATAACATTTTGTTGCATAGCTTGAGCTTTTTCAAAAGATGGACTCTATATAGACATTTGCTTTGGTATCTAACTAGTAATTTTACTGAATGTCTCTAATTTGGATGAAAAGTTACGTGGTTGACCTGAATGACTCATGTCACAGGGGTAAGTGGGGGAAGGACAGTTTGAAGCAAAGTGTACAAAAAACTATGTGGAGAAAGAAAATCAAGATTGCTACATATTCCTGCAACTACCACTCACTTTTAAGAATATTTTTTGCAGAAGCAGGAATTAAATAGTGGTATGAATATAAAAGTAATACCTTTAAAATAATTTTGGAAGACGAACATGAAATCAATTGTGCAACTAAATGGCCATCACACTATAATTACTTAGACACTGTTTCTTCTTGCAGGCAATTTTGATATGAAATATTTTATGGTTGTTAGTGTTCATACTTATTCTGTGAAACAGGTAAATGTTAAGCTAGGGGTTTCATAGATTGTGAAGCAAAGAAGTTATTCTATGTTTTGGAGCAACTGCCACACTGGAAATAAAAAACAGGAGCTTTGATTCCAAATCTGTTGATACAACTTAGAAGTGGAAAAACGGCCTTGTGAACCAACACCTAAGAGCTTCCTACAATAGGTTAGCTACATGCTGCCTGCTTTTCTGGTGGTGACACTGGATTAAAGGTAGCCAATAGTGCCTTTCTTTATGGTACTTGCTGCAGTTGCTGAAAGTGTTTACAGTTGTGAAAGGTAGTGGAGGTGGAAATGTCTGAGAGAAAGACTGACCTATAAAATAGATCAGCACAACAACAGTTCTTCTTCTGAACCTTATTTTCTTTGCTTATGTTGTCACATCTTCTGGTGTCACTCCCACATCCTTATATACCCTCCACCAATAAAAATGTAACGTACAAAGTAAAAGCTTTCATCAGTCTATCTGAAAGCACTCTGCAATTGTTCCTTGTTTCACAAAACCACAGTTATCTAACGTCCATTTTGCAGGCTGGTGAACTAAAGCCAAGACAGACTGGTCTGCCTCAACGAACTATCTGTTTTAAGAGCGTTACCAAACTCTTTCTGTGAGCCTCAGGCTGCAGATGTATAATTTCATCGAAGAAATGGTGCAGGTTCAGCTACCTAATTACAAGGTGACTGGAAAGCCTGTCTTGCAGCAAATCCTTTTCATCTGTCCTTGTCTGGCATGTCTGAGCCTCTCCCCAAAACTTCTTGTGCAAAGGGACATAGGGAGCCCCTGCAAATCCTCCTGAAGAGTTATTCTTCCCCAACCTACCCAACAAATCACACAGTCTTTGTGTTGAGTGGAATTGCTATACTCGCAGAGATGGAAACAAATATTGCTTCCCATGCCATTTTTAAATTAATACTATTTTCTGAGGTTTCAAGGAACTTTACCAACTGACGTGACTACACAAAACTCTTTTTAGATACTCAGATGCAATCTTAAGGCTTTATCATCTAGTCAAGGTAAAACTCCCTTCACATTAATGACTGCAGATGTAGCGTCCCTCACAGGACTCAAATTTTGGGCAAGAATTGATGTCTTGCATCAAAATACTCTGACTTCTGTACCACTAAGGATTAGTAGTAGACTGCAATCAAGTTATTTAATCGTTTAAGGGTTTTCAAAGCCAGTAAAAATATCAGCATCAGATTTTTTTTAAATACTCATTTACAACAACAGCCCAAAATATTCATTCCCAGTGCTTAATGATCAGAGAGGGACATGGGAGTTTAAGCATGGGTTTAAAATAAAAAAAAAAAGCTTTCAATAAAAGCTCTAACTCTGTCATCACATCTGTCTGCCTTTTGCCATTAGACAAGCAGTGTATATATATCTTTGAAGTCCTTTATTTGCAAAGGTGCTAGTCATGCTGTATTAGTACTTTCTAATCTCCATGTATGCACTTAGTTGAGAGCATAATACATTTGTGTTTGACTGATGAACTAATGGTTTCTAATGAGTTGCAGGGTCTTCAGTGTTGTAGAAGTCTGTTTTGACCCTAAATGACTTGGGTTAGGTCGCTAAAATGCTAAGTGGTGAAATAACCTAGCATGCTTGTGTGAGCTTCCTTAACCTATATGCTTACTTAAGAAGGGGGAAAAAAGGAAAAAAAATACAGCAGTGGAAAAATGTTATTGGTGATTACGCTCCAAAAGGTTGGTGAATTTTCTGAATTGCAATATCTGAAAGGAGATTAAAAATTTTTGAGTATTTTTGAAGTAATTTAGGGTTAAAAGGGACTTTCTGGAAACAATCTAATAGTTATGGAAGAGCCTGTGGGAAGCTGAATACCTGAGTTCTGGTCTTAACCACGTCGCACCATGTGGCCTGGTTTTCAGAGACTGACTATACTCTAGGGTTTGCTGCAAATCCCCTTTATTGAGGGGTCACATGGAATCTTAACAAATTACATTATGATATACAGTCATGGAAACAGATAGTTTCAGCTTTTTGCTCTGGTTCGTTCATTCGTTCTTTCTTTGTCTGAATGCAACATAATAATAGCTTTTGAGACTGCACATAACAGATTGTAAACTTCTGGGGAATGTTTTAGTGATCTGTGAGATCAACCCTGTTAATTTTGGTGCAAATAGAAAATGAGTAAAGCTTAATTTCCACTACAATCAGCTTAAAGAAGGATTCTTTAAATGCTTTCAGTGTAAGCCCTCTACAGCTGTCAGGCTCTCTGTCCTTTTCCTTAGAAAACTGTGTGGTGACTGCAAAGTTCATGAAACTGTGATGTGAGAAAAACTAAGCACGTAGAAGTGGTATAATTGAGAACAGGATTTTTAGCCTGGCTATTCCAAACTGTAGGATTTGTGATAGCAATAATTTTAGGAAAAAGAGAAAAAAAAAAAAATCTGTTTCAAATCCATGGCTTACACCTTTAGTGAAAGCTGTATGCATACTTGAAGGTATTCAGGGAATTATCTAAAAGGCTGGGAATGTTTCTTGTATTTGCAGGGTTGAAAAAAGTCCACTTCTGTCTGTCTTTAGAACAAGCTATTAAAGTCTCTACCAAAGAGAGAGATCAGAGATGATCAGTACTGCATGTTCTCTGCTGCTTTAGGAAAAGGTAGTAGCCAGGAACTACATTTATAATACTTCACTGCATTGTAGGGCCATTTTATAAGACTAGCATTTTAATCTTTATTCAGGTTTTAAATCTCATAAAGACTACCTGCTTTTAGAAAAATTCTAGCTTTTCAACTTAAGCCTTACGGATTTTCAAAGGTTTTTAATATTAGATAGGAGATGGGCATTTTACTTCATAATCTAATGACCAGGTTAGAGTTGGACTTGTTTTTAATAATGTGAGACTAAGAAGGACAGGATGCCCTTGCTAACAGAGTATGAACAAATAGCTGGAGGGCCTAGCTTTTCATTAGTTTGGTATTTTAATATATAGTCTCTCACAGGTCAAAGATTCAGCCAGGTACCTCTGGGGGATGCCAAAACATTGCAGGTGGATTCATCCATCAGTTTTTGTGGGATGAAGCAAAGATAATTTTGTTGTTTTTAGGCTATGCTTTCAGTGAAACCAGAGCAAAACTTCCATGGATTTAAATACAAAGTCATGCTTTTCAATACAAGATCATGTTTAATGCTACTGTGATGTGATTCCTGATTTGGATGATGAATTTCTGCTCTTCCAAAAGACTATGCAGTAGTATATTTCTCAAGTAAAGGACCATTACTATTTAAAACTTAGTATTACATTTATATTTGGAAAACAAGTAATTTTCTTAACATTGATACTGTGTTTGCAAATGCTTCAATACTGCCTGAGCTCTGCTCTTAATTAGGATGAGTGCTGTATTTCTCCATGGCCTGATGTCACTGCTTCATTGCAGAAGGATGACTGCGAATCCCGAGAAGGTTTGCTGACAGGTGATTTCTCTGACACCTTGGAAGATGAGAAGTGACGTTCCCAGTGTGTTCTACACACCCACACTTGGATGCATAAGCTCGATCCTGACAGGGTTCCTGATGTATGTGGTAGAATTATTCTGATGGATGAGGAATATCTACAAAGACAGGGTTCGTAATGATGCCAGAACTGTGCGGTATGCTGATTAGCTGTCCTCCTTGAAGTTTCTCAGTGAGCAGTGCATACATGAGCATACACTACTTTTTTTCTCCCACGCACACAAGTGCTGCGTCAAGTTAAGTGACTTGTGACACGTATTAATGCTGTTGGCTTCTTTCTGCTGGGGGCTGACCACTGCAATCCTGTTTGAAAAGTTTTCCACCAAACTCGTACATCATTTTCATTAAAACAGTATCCGGTTTTGTCCCTCAAGCATGAATGTCTTTCTGCTTGTGAATGTAAACGGCAAAGGCAAGCAATAAATCCCTTTGAATAATGTGCCAGTATCTACTCTTACATAACTGTCATTCCTAAGCAGAAGATGCTTATTTACCAATTAAAGCATCTTGGCAAGGATTTCAGGCATTTTAAATTAATTCTGCTGCTTCCAGAACATCCATTAGATAAAATCTGATGAATTTGAATCATTGACCCTTAACCTGAAAACCAGTTTTACAAATGTCCTCCAGGAAACACATTGTGCGCTTAACTTCCCCTATGAAAACTACAAAAAATTGTATACCAAAATACAAGGATTAAGGGCTAGAGCCATGACAGAGTTAGACTTGGACAGGGATATGAGAACTGTCTCACTGAAGGTACTTGATAATTTTTTTCAGCAATATACACTGTGTGACTGCAAATAAATGCATGACATAAGGAATTGTTCAAATTTTTTTTTAATAGTAGAGTATTTCCATTGACTTGCAGTGCTTAAAGAACCGGGAGGTTGTGTTACTGATTAACATAGGGTTACTACATGAAGCTTCATGCAATTAGCTCGTACCAGAAAGGAAATGCCAGATTTTGTCAGTGAGAGCTTGAATCTTTCTTGGAGCTGCAGGAATTTGGGCAGCTGGGAGAAGACCCTGTAGCCTCTTTCTTAGCAGCCTGCCAAAGAGATCACTGTGGAAGTCTCTTGCTCTAGAATTCCTACTAGTAGTGCTGGTTTGGTTTGGTTATTTTATTTTAATTCTTCAATATGGGATAATTCAAGTGAATAGTCAGTATGAAGTTTTATTATCTTCTACCTTTGGGTGTCTGATTAAGCATGACTTGCTGTGATTGGGATTTTAAATACCAGAAGTCTTCCCAATTACCTCAATTACCTTTACCCAAGGAATGATTGCTATTTCCAGGTATGCATCCTGTTGCCCACAGTTTCTCCCTCAGGTTTTTCTGGCATCATTCTTACATTAATAGCCCTTACCAAAGCATACTGTAGACTAACAACTATCCCACGGTACCTCCTGAGTATTTTGCAGCAGTGACACAGTTTCTGCATGTGTTTTCTAACTCTTCTACTCCATTTTAAGAATGTTCAGAAGCTTCATTTCATTTAAAGCCTTCAAATGATAGAAATTGTGCATATCACTTAGAGTGCATCCTATCCAAAAAACATTTCTTATTTCTTCTCTGGTTATATAAACCATCTGTAAAAGGAGGTTATATGAAAAAATAGATTAAAAGTTATTACAAAGTATTTACAGTAAAACAAGTAGTAAAATGTGTTAAATTGTTTCTGTTCTTCAGTTCCCTGTTCTAGTAGCTCTTCTGGGCATAATTTATTTTTGAAAAAAAAAGGGGGGGGGGTAAATATGAAAAATCACTGAAGAATTTCAAATATATGCCCTGTCATGCCATTTTGTAGAGAATGTTGCCTAAACTGTGTGGAACATATCTAAGTTTCTGTGCCAAGATCTGTAGTAGTAGTGTGCCTAAATTCCCATTTACTGAAACAGGACCTGGGTCCTAAGAAATTAACTCAAGAGAACGTTTTACTTGCACTTGAAACTATTGGCAGTATTTTTAGATTGCAGAGCAGAATTTTCTTCTTATGTTTGAGCCTTAAATATGTAACTTGTGTATATAGTCAGCTGAAATTACTTTATAGATTTTTTGAGAGCCATATGCAGACCTTACACATGTGAAAAACACATGCAAGCTGTTGCATAACAGTGAAACAATAAAAACATAACCAGGGCCTATTTTCCTCTTTCATTCATTACTATATCCCCTTTCTCCCTGAAAGAAATCCACAATAAAATATTAATAGCAACATACTGTTGAATAAACATCTGCAGATGTAAGCAATAGCCATTTAAGCTTGAATAAACACTCAGAACAAGAAAAGTGAGTATTAATAATTAAGTTCAAAATTACTGAGAAAAGGCATTGTGAGACTAATCTGGGAAATTATACTTAGTTTTCAGAAGGTATATTTTTGAGGAAGTAGTAAAATCTTTTGCTTTCTTTAGGAGTAGAAGAGAACCTGTCTCCCTCTGCTGGTTTTCAGAGAAAAAAAAAGTTTATAGAGACTGAAAAATCGTAGCTGAAATTTTGATACAAATTACCAGACGTTCCAGAATTAGGGCTTAAAACTTGTTGCCTTTAAATACATCAGAGTCACCCTGAGGACATTAGAACTACCTGTCTTGATTAGCTGAGGATTGGTAGATTTTTGAGTATTTACTCTGTTTAAGCTGATACTTTCTCAGTATATTTTACATGATTTCTTTATATGTACATCTTTAAGAAAGCATAACAAGATAAATTTAAACTATTTAGCCTTTAATTCAAACATTCACTGAATCTTGTAGCTATCCTGAAGAGCAGTGTGATATTGGAGTTGTAAATGTAGATGCATAATTTTCCTTTCTTGCGTAGTCTGAGTTAGTGTACTTTATAATTCAAATTAAGCCTTTTTCTTTCAAATATGAGTTTCTAAACTGCTCCATAAATACAAGTCACAGGCCATAAGGCTTTTGAAGGCCACACGCACAAGAAGAGCTACAGCACTGAGCATAGCTTGCCGGTAATGACAACTGCATGAGGTTTCTTTGAATTGTTGCTGGGACTACGATGTTGAGGCTGGCTGGTCCGGGGTGGGTGCTCGCACCTGGCCAAAATGCAGCATTGCCCACCCTGCCGAGCCGGGAGCCCCGCAGTGCCGTTCCCCCAGACCACGAGGCAGTGAGACGCCCGCACGTGGTCTGTGCCAGCGAGAGCGTATCAGCAGGAGGGGGGGGGAACTTTGTGTTGCTGTCCCCACCCCAATGAACAAATGTTTGGGAATTTCCGTGGAACAGACGTGCTGCACGAAGTCAGTACCATGTTCTGGTACACATCACGGTATCTGCAAAGAGGTTTTTGTCCTTTACGATATGTTCCATCTTCCTATTGTCAGAGGAAACACATTTGTCCTTTAATAATCCCTGTGCTTCTACTAAGAATTTCCCATTCACAAAAAGGACACTCTAACAATAGACATCAAGTTTATTCCTTCCAATTAGTTAAAGGCAAGTAGCAATTCCAGTAGTTAAATTAAGGCATTAATCTGTCAAACTTGGAGGGCTTACATAAATGCATTTTAGGGTGAGAAGAAAATTCAGGCAATTTTGTTTTTAAAGTGGTTTTTTTGTTGTTGTCGGTTTTTGTTTTTTGGTTTTTTTTACTTCCCACATCTTATCTTCACCAAAACACGTTTGTTATGCTTTGTTACATGTAGCCGTCCTTTTGATCTGGGTATACGCCAAGCTTCCTTGTATCCTAAGTATTGTTTTAAAAGGCATCGGCCAACTGCAGTTTCTCATATTTCCAGTTAATACCAGTGTCAGGATAGTTAGTTACACAAGTTGATTTGATTTTTGCATATATTGTGTTGGAATTCTTTTGTGAAGTTTGAGTATCGGGGTGGTGAGAACAGCACTTAACTTTCTCCAAGTATTTGACCAAATTCTCTCATGTTTATTCTGTCTGTAGTGTGCAATTTAAATTTTAATAAAAATGTTACTTAATAAAATTGTATGGGTTTTTTACTGCTTGTCTATCTGCAACTTTTTTTTTTTTTTTTAACAAGACATTGCTTTACCAAGTGTATCCTGAAAACTCTCAGGGCAGCTGTGGTATTTGGTCAATGTATCACAGACAACGTATGTAGTAGCAAGGTAGTGAGACTGCTGAGACACACACCTTGTGCATTGTATTTACATGGGCATATTAGTAACTTCCTGTATAAGAAATACTTTAAAACTGACGTAATGTTTTCATGTGGGAATGTGTAACTTGTAATTATCCATTCATAAGCAAGTCTGCAGGCTATGTCATTGTTCCATTCATTGACTCAGCTATCTAGGGGGTAGTGTCATTTTACCTAGAAGCTGAGCTTCCAATGCCAAGTGGTTATCTCTCTTGAAGCAGAACTATTTTGGCTGCCCAGCTATGGAGAATGCTACGTGGCATCTGATATACAAATGCTGTTTCTAAAACTGGCTAGTACTGCTTCTGGAGTGCACCCAGTAATTGGTATATATGTAATGTGAATGTAGCTGAGAAACAATGAAAGCAGAGGCAAAAGTACTGATGTTGCTTTTCAGTGTAAGGGGTGAAAGCAAAGGAGGGAATAGCATATTCAGTCTGTATTCAGTGTGATAAAAGGAAATCAGTACCTATTTAACATGAAGTACCTTTAGAATATTTTGCAAAAATGAGATACAGCTAAAAAGGATGGGCTTAAGTTATTTGAATGCAGAATAGCAGGAAGATTTTCTGACAAGGAGATAATTTCTAAGGCAAGGCACAGAAGCTTCTTACAGTTACTGTGGTACTGGTAGGCAGGCTTGATAATAGTCTAAAATTTTGTGCTAATCTATAGAATGGACCAAATCACCTTTCCTGTCTCAACTTTTATGATTCATATTTGACATTGTCATAGTGTCCTGTATTATGTAACATGATGGAGCTTGGTCAGTCAGATACTCGTGATCTTGTTGAAATTGTTGGATGTGGTAGCTGCCTTTTATTTAGGCTAAGCAGATCAGTGTTCCTTTGGTTAGTGAGGGATGAAACAGACAAATGGTTGTCCCAGGACTAAACCCTGGGCCATTGAGTCGGAGGTGTAATACAGAGCAGTTTAATGTGACCCGTGTGTGAGGGGGAAGGCAGCACAAACACCATGGGAACTGGTTTGCACCAGGAGGTGCTGGTCTGTTAGGATCCCGGTAAGGCACTCCGCCTCTGTAAAGTATCATTTAAACTGCTGTTTATTAGAGGCAGCATTATGAAGATGCTGGGAACCCTCAGTTGTACAGCATCAAACAGGCACAGCATGCTCTGCAGACCCCATCCGTAGAAAAGGGTTTCCCATGTCAGTCATTTTAGGACTTTCTTAGAAGAAAACAATTCTGTCCGTGACTTCTGCTGCCAGACAGGAAGGGCGTTCACATGGGAACCTCTTGTTGCACTTTTAGATAAAGGCAAGGATGTGCAGGTGGTGCAATTGCCGGTACCAAGCGGGAGCTGGGAAGTTTATCCTGCGGCCAGGGGATACCCACAGCACAACACGGGTCTGAAGGCCAGGCTGTACGGGCAGCACAGCACAGGCCTCTGTCTCATTGTTATGTGGGTCACTAACTCCTCCATGTACAGTGGTCTCCTGGCCAGGATCTCTACAGGAGCCCAGTGGAAGAGGTGGCCAGGAGACATGACTGCGACTGCCAGGACAAAAAAAAAAAAAAAAAATCTAAAATCCAATCCGAAAAGAAGGTATATTTGGACAGACAGTCTGGAAAGAAACCTGGACCTTGAGTGCAAAGTAGAGGTCTTCCACTGATGCTCTGTTCTGTGTTCAAATTTGGAGCAGAATTGGCTTATTGATTGTCAATACTGGAATGGTGTTAGAAAGGATCAATTTCTCCTCTTAATAACTGACAACCTGAAAAATTCTTAATGGCTTAGATCACAAGGGTAGCAAGAACTCTGGTAATTTTTTTAATCTGTGTAATGAGAGTCCCGCCTATGATGCTTCTACAGGGACACACTTTGTGTCAGCCTTCCAAGTCTCCATTTTGCTCTTGTTGAAGTCACCTGCAAGGGCTTTCATTGACCTTAATGGTGCTAGGTCAAGATTTATCCGATAGAAGATGCTCAGATGCTAAAATGGTGGGGGTTTATAGATAATCACACAGAAAATGTCACTTCCAGCCATGTATTTATGACTTGCCTTTTATTCATTCATTTATATTGTAGCTTCTAAACTGACACTTTTTCATGTGTCTTCTGTGCTTCATTAATCGTTTTGTATTTTTTTGAACTTTGGTGTGCTAAAAGTGCTGAATAAAATACCGGTAGGCATAAACTGAACTATTTGATTATTTTCAGTAGTAGCCCCTGAATGGACAGAACACAAAGTTACTCTCTCTGGAATTCTTTTTCATCTACATTAAAAATTGCGTTGTTACTTTCAAATGCCCATTACAACTTTTAATTAGATCTTACGCAAGGCCCATTGTCTCAACTTTGTATAAAATCCCAGATGTGGTACTTTCGAGCTTACTCAAAGCATTATATTCTTTTGAAGCTATCGTGAAGGTCCAACCCAAACGTAGTCTCTTTGAAACGCGTTGGTATGTCAGGAAGGTTGGAGTTGACAGCAGGGAGCTGCCGGGGCTGGCGAAGTAGCTTCTGAAGTTAAACTCGGCAAAATGCTGTTCAGTGGAACGCGTTGTTCCGAGCCGCTGGCAAGTGACGGCAGCGTTTCTTCCTTCAGCTAGAGCCCGTGTGCTGCGGAGCACCCTCGTTTCGCTGCCGTCACCGCTCACCCTCTTCCTCCGGCCTGTTTTCTGTTCCCGGCGGGCACGGGCAGTACCCTCCCTCCGCGGCCAGCGGCGGAGGAAGTTCATTCCTGCCTCCCAGACGGACGTTTCTGGTGCGTTGTGCAAGTTTCCAGGCATGCCGCGCGTTCTTGGGAAGATGGGGCGATAAGGGGAGGAAATGACGGAGGGTCACCTCAGAGCCACCCA